ATGACAAAGATCGTGGGAGATCAAAACCTGCAACCTGTTAAACTCCTCTATGATATCATATCACCTACATTGTGTTTCTCATGCAATGAGCAAAACCAGTCAGTGGTGAGGTGCAGCTGAGCAGCTACAAGCAGTCCATGCTGCATCCATTGTTTTTATCACCATTTTCAAAAACTCCCTCCACATAAAGCTATTCTCTCACAAGTGACCTTTTAAAGTACACACAACTAACAATGAGAAACCCTTTTTTGCTGCACATATGGTGCTACCCAAGTACAGGGGTTTTTTCAAAGAACAATGATGTCAGGTCACTGCCCCAAGTGACCCACAATCTAAAGCAGACACAACAGCAGGATACAACCGAAGAAGGGGGAATGAGTGCATAGGTAAGCTCCAACTACATGTATTTTGGCTTAGCTACAAAAAGGTTAGAGATTAGAGAGGTGATCCAAAAACTTCCTAGAAAATTCTGAGATATTCCTTTATTTAAAGAAAATAAAGCAAGGGGTTACACAAAGGCATTCTGAGGGGCAGTTCCAGGCATTAGAAATGTAAGAAAATGAAGCTGCTTTAGAGGAAAGCCTTAAGAAAATAATTTGCTGACAAATTTCAGATTAAATTAATAGCAGTTGTTCAGGTGGAGTAAAATGATGGTCATCATCCACTGATTCCAGATGTATGAACTCAAACCTCATGGGGATGGGGGACACTGAGTATGAAGCATAACTTTAAAATGTATCAAAAGAATTCATGCTTACCATACTGTAACTATGCTAGAAACCAGGCAGAACCATGCAGATTCCATGAGAAGGTCAATCATAGCTTCATCTGCTGCCAGTTCTGTTACCAAATCCCAGCTACTGTAACTTGGCTGTGCCATCTCCTGTTTACAGGTATATTTAAATAACCAGATTACAGATTATCCAGCCATATTTAGAAGGTTTCTATGGTGATTCCTGTCACCTCCTGGGACGATCAATATGTGGTATGTCTGCCTTAAGGTTTTCCCCTCATATGTATGGGTGTATGTATATGTATTATATATATAACATCTTCAGGCAAGCAGATCAAAATTGTTCATTCCTAATTGATTTCTAACAATCCCTTCTCTTTGCAGTCTTTTTCAAGACTTGCCAGCCTTCAATGCCATGGGCGTACTCTTTTTTTCCTTTTTTTTTTTTTTTTTGGCCAGGGATGGCCAATTTCTCCTGTAAACATTGGAGATGGGTGGGAACTAAAGTTTCTCATCAGGTTTATTTTGCTTTTTCTGTAGTCAAGAGTCCATTCCTGATGCCTGAATTCCCATTGTGGTTTTTTCTGGAGCTGCCTAAAGACAGGACCCTTTCACTGAAGCAGGAGACTTGAAACAATGTATATTTGTGGCATTCCTGTATTTGCAAGGTTCTTCAGGAAATGTAGAAAGACATTTGTCTCACAGATACATTTGTTCTTGCTGATGCTATTCCTCATTAAGAAATGCATCTATAATAAGCCTTTCTTTAATCAGGTATTTGCCTAAACAGATTGTCTGTTTGCACCCAAGCCTGCATGAATGGGGCCCTGTCTAGATCATTTGGTTAGGCACTTGCTGTAAAAAGTACCATGTCTCCAGATTCGCCAGGAATTTCACTCTCATGGATTATGAGCCTTCAATTGTCTTCAGAGCACAATTCAAGATTCCAGTGGCTGTAGCTGCTGAGCAAAGTCTAGTCATGAGATGAAACCAATAGGCAGGATTACACAGGTTTTGCTCCCAGGCAAAATCAGTGTGGGGTTGAAAAGCAAGTAACAATGTTAGGAAAGCATCAAAGGAGCAAAAGAAAGTATTGATTTGAGTACCATTGAGTAGCAGCTTTCTAATTTCCAAGTATCCGGCAGGATGGAAAACTGAAGGGAATGATGTTACAAGTGAAGGTGCCTTAGCATCATCCCAGGCACATGGCAGCCTCTGATCATGTCCAATATCCAATTTGCATTTCAAGGAAAAATTCTAACTTTAATACAAAACATCTACCATACTACTATGGTCAGTGGTGCTTTTAAACCCATTAATAAAAATCTTAGTAAGTTGTGCAGAGTGGCATTTTAATGAACTTTTCACTACTTTTTGACTATCCTGGTACAGAATAATTCATGCAGTCACAAATCGCATTGTAAAGATGCCGTAAAGTAATCCCTTGGGTAATATAGAGAGAGGGACCATAGTTCTGTGGTAGAGCTTTACATGTAGGGAGTCTCTTCAGTTCCAGCCCAAGCATATCCAGCTTTATTTTTTAAAGAAAATGCAAGTGATGGGAAAGTGCACTCGGGGCCCTACATAGCCCTAGTCAGACAGACAATAATCTGGCCTGCTAAAAGATAGTTTCCTATGATCTCACAAGGCTAAAATGCACTGAGATTACTCCAGCTGCAGATCTGAGGAGATGCCCAACAAAGCTTCCTTTCAAGGTGTCCTGTTCAATTGTTACTCTTCTCCTACCCCTATTACAGTTTTACCTTGCAGCAGTAGTAAGAGCTACAAGCCACCATTTCAAATATTCCACCATGTCTTAATATATTAACACAGCATTACTCCAAGGCATTGTGGGAAATTCTACATGGCCATTTAAAATGTATCATGCTAGGCTCCAGAACTTCATGGGAAATTTGAAATGGATGTAGTCACCCATCACCCTGTTTAGACCTGACAACTTCCCAACAGTGCTAAGTCTGTCTACAAATCTGACAAAAGGTTAATCACAGGCCCCAAGGCGTAATCTAGTAAAACCAGATTCATTTACAGGCAGGATTGTTAGCTTTGAAGTGTATTTTTAACTTGAAAAATCAAAACTGAAGCCAAAACTGGAATTAATTCCATCACAATTATTAAAATCATGTTTTAAATTTAAAAGTAGACTAAGGCCATTATATTCATCTGATATCTGGACTAAAAGATTTAATAGGATTAAGAAAGTGAGAACTGTAATTCAGATAGATCAACTGTGCAATGTGATGCATATGTACTCAAAAGTAATTTTGATTTGGTTTAGTGGGGTTTATTCCAAGGAAACTGAGCACAGGACTGCAATTTCGGGATGTTTAGGTATCAGGGGTTGTTTCCAGAGGTCACCTTGAACCTTTAGTATGGTAGCTTCCCTGAGGACTAAATTAGTTATTTTATAAATCAAAAACTAAAAATGATATTGTCTTATTTTTTAACTCTAATTTTGCTTTGGGATTCCTTTTGGGGCCCAAAGGCTTCATATAAACAATTTGGTTAAGACATTAAAGCACAGACAACTAGCAGTTACTTACTTCTGGCAAAAGACATTGGAATTAGGGGCTTTTACTCTTAAATATGCCAAATTGAATTGAGAGTCTGGGCTAGGAATATAGGACTGTCTGTACCCACATGGTCATATCACCTATTATAAAGGCAAAACATATGGGAACATGATCTTAGTGATAAACAAAATCAAATCTCCTTGATCCTAGTGCCTTTGAGTTGCTTGCTCCTTGATTCAGGAAAAAATAATAATAAATAAAATGTATGACTTTCTACATAAACTACCTAGCCTTTAACTTAATGTATTCTATAGATGGTCATTTTTAATGTAGTGTAGGTACAAGCATTAACATATTGGCTTGCATTAAATGCACATTTCAATTTAAGTCATTTTATTTTTATAAAGAAATACAATAATTTTAAAAATTATTTACATCCTATTTTTAATAATCAATTATTCACTCACTTGAATGAATTATGCCTTTCATATTTCCTCACCTCCTTCAACTAAGATATAGCCCACAATAGCTAACTATTCATAATTTATGTATGTAAATATACTTTTAATCTGCCCAAGAACTAAGACTCTCTATATGAATTGTTTGAGACTCAAAAAGCCTAGGGGGATTTCAGCTCTGAACGCTTATGATATATTTGTGTCAATGTTTTCATCAATATAGGATATGTTTATTTGAAAAATGCATGATCTGAAACTTTAAGTGATACTATTAAAGTGGACCAGTCAACTGTTGTGAAAAAATGGTTTAAGAGGATTATGGATTAGACTGTGTATATGTTAATACAGCTTCACTGGACTGATGCATTCAGAAACAATAGTAAAGATGAACAAATGTTCAAGTACAATACTCGAGGCAATATATGGAATGAATGAAGAAGCTGATTTGGAGATCAAGTGCTTCAATATGAAAACATGCACCTCACAAAAAATATACTGTGTGGTTTTGGTAACTTTGATCTGATTAGCTGTAAGTATTAAGCCAGCTTCATAAATAACTTGGCTTTAAAAAGATTGACCTGTATCCATATACTTTATAAACATCCTACATTCAGTCTAATTCTATAATTCTATGATTCTTTAATTGTTGAATTGCAATTAAATATGTCTTTAAAAAGGCAGAATATTTTCCACTTTCTGGGGCTTTTTCCATTGTATATATGCTGTTTTGAAAAGTCATTCCTTGAGATCAGTAGGTAACCTGCACAATAAATGAATGTATTTTACCTCTCACTTTAATCCATGGAAAAGTTCTCATTGATTTAAAGCTGGATATACCCAACATGCGGTGTGGCATCCATACATTCAGAGGTCCCCACAGGACATAAGTGAACTAACACACATCTATTGTCACAGCAGAACGGGCAAGCTGAAGCACATGTTGTAATCACGCTGGGAGGTCTAGATGCGTTCAATGATGACAACTAGACAGATGATGTCCTGGGAACCTCATGTACATTGCCTTGAATTCCGTGAGGGAAGAAAGGCAAGACAGAAATGTACTAATTACACAGAATAAATGGTGACACAGTGTGATGTCAGAGAGGGAAGAGAAGGTTCCACGTTGCTGTTAGCCCTCCACAGTCAGGCACTACTCCTGCGGTGGGCTGAACCAAGCCCATAGAACAGTGGTTCAGAGAATCGCTTTATCTACATTTTGTGAGTTACAGATAATAACATTTAATTCAAGTAGAGAGCCACAGTATGAAAACAGTTAAGTCCATTTAAGTCAATATATTTACTTATTTATTTTAGAATATACTCTACATCTGAATAAAAAAGTTTTAAATAGTATTCAATGCAGTAGAACAATGGGACCTTTATATTTCCATTGAAAAATGGATGCATATTAGTTAACTGGTTAATCTTCTGCAATAAAATATAAACAGTTCTTAATGGCATATTTGCAGCCTCATATCAACCAGTTCTACATGGTATGGAAAGGTAAGTGTCTTTATTCAAAGGAGAACAATAACTGTTCACCTGATCTGTTAAAAAATTAACTAGTACAGATGAACGTACATTTTTCTGTTGGTAAAAAATAGACACCTCCAGTTCTAAGAGCATGCAAGGAATATAATTCTTAGGCTTTATATACATATATATTAACATTACAAAAGTAGTGCAAAAACAGGAAAGAAGTGATGCAATTGCCACTACTGTTGCCGCCACCACACACGTGTGCACACACTGTCTTCCAGTGATTGCACACACACTTTCAGTAACTGGCCTGGGCCACTGTACATCCTTCTGAGTCCTCAACATCTGGAAACTCTGTAGTTGGCAGCCTATCTATGCCTGCTACTCAGATGGAAATTTATCCCCCTGCCTCCCGGAATATTTAGTTGCCAGCAACAAACCCCCAGTAGGATTTGCCTAGCATCTCCACCCCACCTTTTCATCTCCATCTTCTTCTCTTCCAGACACTTTTATGTCCCACTGTCCTGGATGTGCCTTCGCTGCCTTCCACAAAATGACAAAGTAGCATCTCTTTCAACATATATGCATGCGCACACACACACCCTCTCACACACAGCACACACTTCCCTCCTGCTAGCATCCTTCCCTAGCCCTTTCCAGTCCCCCGTTTCCCCATCCCCGGAATCTCTCACCCCAGCAGGCAGGCAGGCAGGCAGGCAGGCCAGGTTTTCCCCCTCCCTGACTCAGTGCCCCCAGTTGTTGACGCCGATCTCCTGCTTGTATCTGTTGGTAAGCACGTTGGCCTTGCGGGTGAGTTTGGAGAGCACAGTGTGCAGTCCGCTCAAGTGGTAATGAAACTGCTTCTCCAGATCCTCCTCCACCTCTTCTTCCTCGGAGATGCCCCGGCTAATGTCCACAGCGCCGGGCCCTCCGTTCAGCTTGTCCTTCTTCCTGCTGGCAGCCTCCTCGCTCGCCTGCTGCAACACGCCCCACTCGATGTCGTTGCGGATGGACTTGAGCAGCACGTAGTGACTGTACATATCTCTGCAGGAGCAATAGCTGTCGCCGTTGGGGGTCAGCTGGGCCTCCCTTTCTCCGCAGCGGCCCCCCGAGTCCAGCTCATCCAGCATGAGAGGCACATCCCGAAGCAGGCTGGGCACCATCACCGTCTGGTCCATGTTGTTGACGGCCCCGATGAACCGGTTCATGGCATTGAAGAGGGAGTGCTTTTGGCTGTACGAGTCGCAAATCTGCATCATCCTGGCGGCGGCGGCGGCTACCGGGAGGGGCACGACGAGAGAAAAGCGGGCGGGAGTGCAGCTCGGCCGCTGCGGTAAGAGGGCGCGCCAAGCAAGCACCGGCTGCTCAGCCAAGATCAATGCGCGGCCCGAGAGAAGCAGGCGCCGAGCCCAGGAGCCTCCCGCAGCGTTCGCTTTTCAAAACCAAGGCGAGGCAAGCGCGCCGGCTCCTTCCTCTCGCACGCAGAAGCAGTGCCTTGGCTGACGACTACGTCGCACTTCTCCACAGCTTTCCTCGCCGCTTCGCAGTTGCACGCTCGCTCGCGGCAAGAAAGTCTCTGCGGCAAAGGAGTGGCTGAAAAGGAGAACAAAAGATGGCGATGAAGACCAGCCTCGCGCCTTGCCCCAAAGTCCCCGCCGCTTCAGCAGTAGCGCCCCCCTCCTCCATCATGCCTGGCTCCTGTTAAAGGCTAAGCTTTCTTTGTCCCCCCGCGCCCGCCTTCTTCCTCCAAACTGTACTAAATATCAGCTCGAATTCCATCCATGAAATAAACCAGACAGGAAAAAAGCGGCACTAACTCCCCACCTTCTCAACGCCCCCTCCTAGAGTCCTTCTTGTATTCTGCGGCGAAAGTCGAGCTACGACTCGGAAAGAAAGACTTTTAGAGTATAATGCAGCGCAGAATTTCTGCGCATACGCAGAGCTCCCGAACAGCCGCAACCTGTCTTTGCACGCTCGGGATGAAGCAAGAGCCTCCCGCAGAGCTGGCCACCCCCGCCCTTAAGGCGCTGCTACATGATTTCCATCTTGCCTCGGCTCTGGACCCTTCCCCGTCAGCCCTACCCGAGTTCCTCTCACGCCTGACTCCGGAATCAGGGGCATACCTACACATGCGTGGCTTTTAGCCGTTGCCTCCGACTGCCGGCTCCGCCCTAGGCGAGAGGAAACCGGCCCTGTAGCTCGCTTTCGTTGTTCCTCCCGCTAAAGGGGGAATTTCCTCCAGTTCCCCCTAAAAGAACTCAGTGGCAAGCGCGGGAAGGGGCTGGCTGAGGCAACAACCGCACCCCACCGCCGACGCACGCACACAATGAATTGCTCGGAAGCGGTGAGCAACCGGTCCGGGAGACCCGGCCAGCTCCCGAAGCAAGCCCGTCAGGGGCGCATCCGTGCGCCCGCTCAAAGCTGCGAGCAGCACTCACCGTGAGCTCCGAGCGCGGAGTGGCTCCCTGCGCGCACTTAGCCGGCTCCGGCAGCGTCCCTGGGTGCTCCTGCAGCCTGAACCCCCGCTCCCATGCCAGGAGCCGTATTTATAGAGTGAACGTTAAAGCAAGGTGTTTCCAAGGGCCACCCCCTTGCTGGGAAGTAAGGGACGGGGGAGGCGTCTCCTTCGCCGTGGCCACATGCAACGCCGAATTCTGCTACCAGGACGAGCCGGCAGCTCCGCCTCCCTTCCGACACTAACTGCGGGGTGGAAGGAGGGGGGGGGGTGGAAGGACGGCCTTGCGCGCACCCGCCTCGGCTGGTGCCGGCTGGGGGAGGGGAAAGCGGCAGACAATCCCGCACCCCACGCGGGTAGCGAGGGGAAAACTTCGCGTCCTTCGAGGTGCTGAACTCGTCTCGGGTTGCAACACAGCCTCAGGATGTCAAATAAACCTGCCTTTCAGGTTGAAATGGAAGAGAAGTTGGCTGGCAAAAGAACACGATGGGGTTTATGGCTTTCCTTCTCTCCTTTTAAGCTCGCTGCTCACTCTAAGGCAGGAACCGGGCTTTTGCTATCATCAAAGCGAAGGAAGCTTGTGGTAAACGGGATCCGTGCACGTTCCCAGACTCCCACTGCGAGGCAGCCCGGCGTGGCTCCTAGAGCGCTATTAAACAGCTCATTGAGACCGGCGTCCAAAATTCGGTGCGATCGCTGCCAAAGCACACAACGAGACAGAATTCTCTGGCATCTGCTGGTGGCAGTTATCTTAAAATACAGAGAACAGCTGAGTAGTAGGGAGAATCTCACAGTCAAGGGCGGGGAAGTTTATTTTCCATCCCAGGAGATTTGGGCGCACTTTTTCGTTTTCTTGCCCGAAGAAGGATGGTGGAGTGGCGGATACTTAGCACGGGCATTTCACCGCATCTCAGCCGTGGTTTTCATGTCGGAGACTTCTCGCGATAATGAAGAGTGTTCCTGAGCCTGTTCAAAATGACTGATAACCCACAGCCAGTTCCTACAACCTTGGAATGCATAGTCAGGAGGATGTTACCAGGAGATTGGCTTTTAGGAAAATGGCTCTCGGACAACCTCAAAGAAAAGAGATCTATCAATTTCTAGTCGCGGAAACACGGGATCAAGCTGGATCAAGGACAGAAGATGTTGAGGGGGTGGATGGAGGAAGGGGGTTGATTTTAAACAAACTTTAGAGAGGGTACTTAGCCTATTCCCTTGGGCTGTTTCCCCTATTAAAATTGCCTCCCACTTTTATCCGACAATGCAAAGACTTGGGGCCCGAGCAACTCTTGATTTTAATCTCATTGTTCAAGGCAGGGATATGTGAAAGCGCTGTTAACTGAGCTCCCAAGATCTAGTGCCTTCCTATAATTCTTGTAGCCCAAACACCTTAAATTCCATCCTGCGCCCTATTGTTTTATGCAACGCCAAGAATGCACGGCTGTGACCGATAGTTGGTGTGTAAAGATATTTGAATGCGTTATTGACCTCGCTGCAAGAACAAATTCAAGCTTGAATTCAGGCTGCCTGGAGAATCATATATGGAAGCTGAGGGGAACGTATAAATGTTTACTTTGGAAATAAGCCACTGAGGTTTTCTGGTCCCTGTACAAAGGAGTGCAGCGTTATAGCTCCAGCCCCGAAGTGACGCTACAAAACAAAACACCCCCAAATTGGTATCCCTTCCAAGTCTCATTCAAAAAAGGCTATTTGTAACACTTCCCTTCTGAAAAAAATCAATAAAATATTTTTTTCTTCTTTGTTTTCCAATCCCCAATCAATGTAACCAAATCAAAACGCCTATCTTCTGGATCGAGCCATTTAGTGCTAGCTTCAAGTTCTCCACATTTGAGCTTTCTCGGCAGGCTACTTCGGAGGAGGGCAAAAGTGCCTTCTTCAACACAAGGCAAAGTCTATCTGATCGGTTTCCCACGGCAAGGAGGAAGAGCAAACGCGCCAGGCTGGGTGTTAAGGAAGTTTTCACGCGTCATCCGCGTGAACACCACCCTTGCCAAGGTGGGTAGGCACGCCAGTCCCTCGTGCTCCTCCAGGCTCCAAGCGCAGCGGTAAAGACAAGCCAGAGGAGTATTTCTGGACCCCCCACCATGCATCATCGGAAAGACAAAAAAGGAGCACCGAAAACGAAGCCGAGTGACGACAAGGATCCGCGCGCAGAGGCGCGCGACACTCCCGGGCCAGGGGAGGACACGCGCGCGAGCGCTTTGGGCAAAAAGCGCTCGCGCGCCGCCTCCCGAAGATGACTCCAGTTCACGTCCGAGACTCAGCGGCCTGTCGGGATCACCCCACAGCCTCACCTCCAGCCTCAGCCAATCGGATCACTTCCTGACCGTCAGACTCCGTCCTCATATGCTAATGAGCCAGTCTCGGCAAGACCCAATCAGCAACAACACTTCCATTCTCTTTCTGCTCCAGCGCCCGTGGCAACAAAGGAGTGGCAGCTGAAAGAGCAGCATGAGGGTCTCGTGGCGGGGAGGGGAAGAGAATGGCAGCGGAGTGCGTTGCCCTGGCAACCGATAAACCACAATAAGCCGAGGCACTGGGACATAATGGGCCCTTATCTTCCACACACTCCACAGTGCTTCCTCTATATGCGAGCATGCGAAGTAGAGCTCGTACATTACTTGCAACCTGCTAGTCTCATCTCATCGTTATACACCGTCACGCCGATTGATAACAAAAATTCACCGGCTTGTGATTCAGTGCATCGCATTTTGGAAAGCTGCATCTCATTTTACCTAAGCCAGAGTGAATGCATCTGAACTCATGAGGATGTAATAGGAGCTTTAGATATAAATTGGAAATGCACAAGCAGATTCTAGTTCATTGTTTTTAGCTTATGGATAATTTAGTTAAAAGCTATGATGCTGCTGTTGTCGTTTAGGTGGGACTTACATAAAAGAATTTCCTAATACGTTGTTTCCCCACTATTTGTGTGAGAGGTCTAAATTTAAGTAAGGGAATTCAAATGCTAGAGGTTTTTTGAATGTTTGTTAGAGAAATCTGCTATAGTTTGAAAACTTTTGAAGTTGTGCAAGAATGAAAACCTGAAAGTAAATAATACAGATTTAGAAGCAAATTGCTAGGAACTGTAGGAAATGTTTCAAAATATAAAAATGTTAGGTCATACCGGCACAGAAGAGGGAACGTCATCTTCTGGCAATGTTATCTTCAATGCTAAGACTTTTAGAGAATTGTCATACTAGTATGACCAGTTTTTACTCCTTTCTCCTAGCATCTTCACATGCACACACCACTTGCTTAGCTATAGTATAGATTCCTCCTTATTCATGGTTTGGAAAAATAGGGTTAGCTAGATGTGATTTTCTGTCAACATAGAAGTCTGTAAAAATCAGCACCGAATCTGTGTTTTAGAAACAAAAACAATCAAGATTATATTTCATCTAACCTAATTGCTTATATTCTGTTTCTTTTTCCTATGCAGTTATACAGCTAAAATATGCACATTATTAAGAGGGGTTCTGTTGGGATTGGTTAGCCCCTTAATTCTAAATAAAAATAAAATGGATAGGCAGATGTTTCTGCTCTGAAAATCAAACGTTTATATGGCGCATAGGGGCAAAAATGTCGGCTGTTCCCTGCCTTCTAAAGTTGGCCAAAGATTGAATAATTCAAAAGTGTGTCACAAAAATAAACATTCTTTCCCATTTATTTATTTTTATACAAATCAGCAGGGAAAGGACAGTGCTGTACAGTTCCTTACTGCATCAAAATGTGGAGCAGTGAGGAAGCTCATATATTCACAGATAAGGCATGACTTTCCCTAGGGACTGCTTTTTGAAAGAACACTTTGAAGCTTGCATGGTGTTTTGTTAATGATTAAACTGCAAGTACTGAAGGATAAGCTTGGGGGCATGTCTGCATAGGAGCTTCCCACATCCCACTGGGATCTATAGGATTTAGTAACATAAAAAAACCCCTATAGGATGCAGTAACTTAAGAAACAAATGGAAGTGTAATCCTTTTAGGGCTCTGAGTGGCTTCAGTCACTATAAAAAGTAGGCTGGCAATACTCATTTGTAACATCCTAAGAGGAATTAGATGTAGCTACAACAAGCACAGCCTTCTTGTGCATGTTCTTCCCCTTCAGATATACCGTAAGCACAGCCAGTTACCTAGCCAGTGGTACAAAAGACTGCCCCAAAAGTTTGGAGGTGCTTATGGGTAACATCACTGCTAGAGAAGTACACTGTGACAGCATATGCCCTTAACATTACACAGGAAGGAATACAAAAGGGGTCTTCCCAAGGCATTAATGATAGAGCCATAGAATTTACTGTAGTCTTAGGCCCTAATCCAGCTTTCCCCAACAGCCATACTGGCCTGGGATAATGCAAATAGTCCTGAACATATCTGAAGAGCACCCAGTTAGAGAGGCTGTTCTAACCTATTAACCCTCACCCATTGATCTTTAGCTGCTAAGTTGGGAGGTCTGAGCCTGAAGTAAAGTGGGGCACCACAACACCACCATCCAGGTCAATGGTAAAGTATTAAATGGGCCCACAGATTAACATCTGGTGGATATCAGGTCCCAACCATGTAAAAGAAAGAAATGTGATTTGGTCCTCAGTT